AACTTTATTTTGGCGATAAGCCTTCTATTTATCTCAATTACCTCAAATCTCTCAACGAATATTGTAACGGGAGGAAAAATCCAGTAGGTCGTCTACGATTGAAATGGTGCAGCCATGAAAAGGAGATGGGAATAAGCATGAAACACAGCTAATGCCTATCAGCGATATTACCGTGGCAACGTGCACTAATCGCTGAAAAAAGTGCACGCGAGGAAACTGCTGATAGCTCATCAAGTAGATGCATCAGCTCCTGTCTTGGTAAGCTCGAGCAAATCCGACACCAACCAATAAGCCTATTATTGCGCCATCAACCAGGAAGTGCTGATTCATAGCCTCTGTTTCGGAAATGTGGAGACGGACTGATGCCTTCTATGCTCTCCTCCCACCGCGGCATTTTACCTGCGAATAACATAAATTTCTAAAAACGGCTTCTGAGACATAGGCCAGCTCACTGCGGCCTTTGAACCGCCGAGCGTCATCCTCTCCATGTAAACGAGTTCATCAACACTTCTCCACCAAGCTAGGGCTAAATATGTGGGAAGAGCGGAAGTGGCGTAGAGGAATGGAGTTACGATAAAGTTGCAAAATAGAATAAAGAGAAACTGAATGGATTAGCAAAGCGCTGAATTGTCTAGAAGGTATGGCGCATACAACTTTCACCTGGGAGCCTGTATAGCTCGAGCAGTGAGATAAGATCCATTTCTCAGCTGTCAATGATCCACTCTACAGCGGAAAATCTGGTGGGAGTCTCCTCCTCGCCTTTAGAAGGTTGCCTCGTGCTTCAGTACACCTAATCTACGGCTGAAGGTCAATCCAGGAAAAGGATTGTTGTTATCAGTAAGACATTTTTTGGTGAGATATTTTTCCGAGATAATAGAGAGAATCGGTAGCCAGAACACTGCCAAAAGAAAAGGTTTCATTTTGGGAATCCATTCTCTAGTCCACTGCAGAAACTTATTAAAGTAACACCCCTCTAAATCGAATTGGTGGAGTCACAGCGGTTAATAATGAGTTGTGGATGCACAATTGACAAAGAGGACGAAGCGAAGAGAAGTTCAAGGAAACTGGTCGATGAGCCCCAGAAAAATTCCGCCGAAATTAAGGCAAAAGCGGCGGGGACAGACGCAGTTTTACGAACTTGTGCCATGGCGAAACTAACTTCGCGTGGATTTGAATTAGTCACTACACCGGAGTTCCACGCTCGTGGTCAGAAGGAGCCGCGGACGTAACTCGTACCCAAACGCTAAAGATGTAGTGCGCAAAATGCGGGTGTTTGTGTACAGACTCTTTAAGCGTCCACTGCCGCAAGTTTGAAGTGCGGGCGACAACGCGCGACAGCTGCCGTACTCGTGGGACTACTCTATCCCGTACGGTTTACGGACTACTTGAATTTTCGAACGTGGTCCTGCCACTAATGGCGGAGAGAGTACGGATGATTAGAGAACGGGTGAAGCCCTGGGACTAAGCCTTGGAGAGGGAAGGGATCCGCGAGAGAGCGCAGGCAGAAGCATCAAACTGAGGCGGTTCAAAGGGCAGAGTTCAAGTAGTCCGTCGACCATCCCGCACACTGAATTGCTTCTTCTGCACGACCTCTGCTGGGGGTGTTGCTTCAAGATCTAATATATTCTAATTTATTTTCAAGAGAAAGGAGAAAGCCGTACATTTGGTTTGAGATAGGTGGGAACATGTGGTGGGTCCTTCCTCTCCCGCTTCGGCACTTTTCAAAGGATTTAGGAGCGGAGCTGTGTCCTGAGATTGGACTAAATTCAACTTACGCTAAACTCTGACCCCGTCGAACAGAGTGAATGTATGAATTGTATGAGAGAAGGGATTATATCGAGACCAACGTTTGTGCGAAAGTCATACTGACGCGCCATTTCCTTGACGCGATATCCACCTTGCCATGCACCCTGATGCCTACAGTTTACCCACAGTTGTGTATAACCCATCAAATTAGGTTTTGCACGATAGAGAGCTAAAAACCGAAGCGCAACTGGTTCTGAATTTTCCCCTCACGGTCCACGCATTGCGAAACGATGGGGTTAATCAACAGAAAACAGGGAGATTGCGTGTTTGCTGCAGTTCTAGGCATGGCTCCAGCACGTCTGTGTTTGTACAGATAATCGAACTCCACTTTTACAAAGGGCAAACGTTGGCATAAAAATGATTAAATTCTCGGAGAGAGCGATAGCGAAAAAACAGCAAGCAACGATGAAAGGGCACCGCCGCCGAGCATGCTGTGAGAGAGCGCCGGTGCGTCCTTTGCCGTTGCTGTGGGAGCGGATGCTATCGTGCCGTCGCCGATAGTTATGATCACTTCTAGAAAACCCTACACTAGCACCGTGTTGTGAGAAAGTGCTAAATTTTTGATATTACCATGAAAAGCCGAGCACAACAGTGCCGCAACTGGTAGCGCACTTGCCCGGAAAGCGAGAGGTGCGGGTTCTAGTCCCGCCTGGGGCGAAAGTTTTGTTCACAACCCAGCATTCTTGTGAAACATTCGCAACGCGAACTGCGGCGTTAAAACAGCAGTTAACAAACAAAACAAGTCTACCTGTTATTAGTTCTCCAAATGTGGTCTTGGAGGTACTGTAAGCACTGCTTAATTCCATTGTCCTTTACGGAAACCATCAAAACGACGGAATAACAGGCTCTGCCGTGTTACCAACTTTGCGCCGAGGCAAGACTTCATTCCCGAATCGGGATTGGCAAAACACGACTTCGTTTTCGACCCCAAGAATTTTGGACTCTTAGAGTTTTCACCTTTACTACTGGTTCTTATAAGAACGTATTGTGTCATTTTATGAACATACTGTTTGTTTTTCTGGTTAACGAACAACAAGCTGTTTGGTAGTCGTGTGTGGTGAAAAAAAAAACAATTAGGTACGCAAAACGGGTGATCCCAGCAACTTATGGTTAATGTATCTTGCACGCATGCATTTGCATGCGCATGTTAAGGCCGAACGCGAGGTCAGTTGCGCTGGCGCCATCCAAAATTAAAGTCGATCGCATCTTAAGCGATCATTAATTTTGAAGTAACTTTAAGATTCAGATTCGAAAGCAATTAATTATTTATGTTGATTGCGTCTATAGAAAATCAGGGTCGGGAATGAGTGTTGAAACAGCAGGACAGCAACAAAGATAGAAAAGCGAAGAAAAAGTTCCTAAATCATATCTGCCTGTCCGAGTGGACAGCCCTGATCTCAAATAAGCTTGACTCGATTTCAACTTTGAGAAGATCCCTCAAAATTACACAACTCGACTTTTCCAGTGTTCTCTCACATACATAAATTGTAGTGGTGGCGATAGGATAGACAAAGCTATGCAAAAACACTCCACGACCGGATTCACGCTTCCTCATCAAAGGAGTCGTGCTCGGGAACAGCATGCTCCTACTTCTTTCATAAATCAGTGGCCTGAAACTCATCATTCATGAAGAACGAAAGACACAAAAGCTGCTTTCTAAATAAACAACCCGAAGCAAACGACCGTAAAAGTTATACGAAACTCATTCCGCCGCTTAAAGCGAGAGATTGCGATAGGATTCTGTTGTGCTCATAGTGGAAGTGAAGATGCTGAATAATGCCCTAGTAGCGAAAAAAGCAAAGAAATCCGTCAAAAACGCGCAAAATGGGACCACTTCCTCTGCCCGTTGACCTCCGATAATGGACGAGTTGGCAACCAACTAAGAGGTCGTCGGCACTCGTTAAACCATAGCTGCCATCATACCACCAGAGATCATACCTTGATTGATACAGCATTCCATGAGAAGG